AATCAATTTAAACAAAAAGAAAAATCTCAGGTTAGTAAACCAGTGAAGTACAGAAGCAGAAAAGGTGTGGCTGAAGAAGTGAATTTCCTTTTGTTTAATTTCAACTTATCCTACTTGACTGTAAGTATAATAATACAACAACTTTACAAGAGATATTATCTCCAACTTGAATTTGTTACAACTCTCAACTAAATCTCACGTGTGACGTTGAAGATGAACAACATCCCAATTCTATCTTATCTTACAAGTACCTTAAAAGAGAAGCTTCTCTTTCCTCTGCACATTCCACCCGTAATATTTTGTGCTGCACACCCTTCTTTACAGGAACTTTGGCTTCACTCCAATCCTTCCCTCCTGCACAAGTTTTCAGGGGTCTTTTCCTCCCAGCCTACAAGTAAAACACTATGGTCATGTACACCAAGCGGCTGAGCCATTATGAATTTAAGAAAATATCGTTTCAGGTGTTTAACCACCTTAGTGGCAAGAGAATAAAGCAAGATCTTCATGCATGTCTAGATGCTTCTTCATGTAACTGTGCTGTTCTTACGTTGGGGTCTTCCTGCCATAATCAAAAAAGAGACCTTTAGCAATCTAAAGAGGCAAAACCAACAGTCTTCGTCCAATTAAAATACGCCTAATTAGCACTTACCCGAATGCCATAAGTAAAACCAGCTGGCGTTCGGAAGAAATCCATCTGCCCCTGCAAAGACAAAATCCATATGTAAGAGAACACCGTGATATATTTGTCATCTTTAGATGCAGGCTTCTCCTGCTTAGATTAGCTTGTAAGCATACAGTTTTTTTGAAACAAAAGTGTCTTGAAAACACTATCTTATAAGTTATATCAGTTTGTTTAAATATATAAGTTATACATTGTCAATGCTATCCAAATAATGGCCTTAAGAGAGAAATATCTTAGATCATGGAGGAAGAGAATTTTTGAAATTGATAAGAGTTATTTTTTGATGTCTTACTTGATCAATATTAAAGTTTTTAAGGAGCATAAACTCTCAAAAGTGAAAACTACACCATGATAGGCTTTTTATAACATTATTGCAAAAACTTATAAATGTTGGATAAGCTTTTAGTTATTTATCAAATAGGTAGAAATTTAAAACACTTTTAGAGAACTTATAAACTATAACTTGGACCAAAAAAAGTTGAGTCAAATCTCTCTACATTACTATCACCAAGAAGGTAAAGAAAGGATTGTCCTATTCATATGGCATAATATACCAGCCCATGCATGCTTTGTTGAGCACTATAGTAGCCATCGTGGCTTGGTGCTATCGAGTTCAGCTGCCCCTGCAATATGAAACCAGAAATTCATAAATTAGTCTCACTTGGATACCAAAGATAGAGATATCCTTCCGGCTTATCATATAAAAATAACATACCAGCCCCTGAATGGTCTGCTGATTCCCATAATAACTGTCGCGTGTTGGTGCCATTAGGTTCAGCTGTACCTGTCAAAAAACGTGAAGAGCACCAAATGAAACTTGTAAATATAATGAAACTGCTCACTGCATTATCATAAGAGACATGAAGCAAAAATGTGCTACATCATACCATTCCTGGCACACTCTGTTGTGCACCATAATAGCCATCAAGGGTTACTGTTCTCGGGCTTAACTTATCCTACAAACATAGAATTCCGGTACCCGGGCAATAAATTAAACTCAATTTTGTAAACAGCAAACTGTTATTAGCAACTGCAATTACATTTCCATTTACAATTTAGTGCATATAACAGATTAGCATGTATTGTCACTAGTGAAATAAGACAAACCATTTGTTGTATGCTGTCTGGTGCTCCAACAGTCATAACCTCCTGCTCTGAGTTTGTCTGCCAGTTTATAGGATGAGGAGTCATTTTATGAGATTTGCTAAAGAATAACAAGGCACACAGATAGCCAATCCAGCACTGACCTTCCTTTTCTTTGTTGGATTCTTTTTCTTGTTTGTCTTGCTCATACTTCTACTCTGATTGTCCTCTTCAATGGAGATTAGACCATGAGTGGGTGATGCAACAGCTTCCGTAGGACTCTTATTAGAAGTATTGACACCCACACAATTTTCCAAAGCTTCTTCAAGGGCACGGAAAGCAATATTGTAACTATCTTGAGATAACGATGCCTCTTCACTCAATTTCATTGCACGCTGACACAAATCATTGTATCTCTGCAACCTAGTTTGTACCTGCTCGGATTCTTCCCCCAAAAAGTGCCTGCTTTTCGCATCTTTCGTCCACCGTTTCAAAATATATTGAGATGGAATAGCAGAGAGGCCACAAATTTGAAGAACAATCATTGAATGCCTGCATAGATAACCTTTGTATTCGTATAAGCGGCATATACAAGAAACTTCTGGCTTCATTTCGTTCCAAGTTACTATAAAGTCCTGATTCTTTTCAAAATCTTGAACTCTGAAAATGAAGCTTGCTCCATCTTGGCTTTCCCTTTTAGGATGACAAGCAACTGCACCTAAAACCTCAACTTGAAATTTCTTGAATACTGCATGAGTATAGACTCCAGAAACACTCTTCTCAAAAGGTGATGGAGATTTTAATGTAGGTTGTTTATTCCACGTATCAGAATGAGCTTTGGCTTCCTCTTCATACCTATCTTGCAGAATTGCTTCATATTGTTTCACAAACTCCTGCACAGTAGTCTTCTTATGAACATACTTGTCAAAGGAGGAGTTTACACTCTCAGATCGCTGAACTGTAGACATCCCAGCCAAAAACACATTAGTCATATAAGCTGGTGCCCATTTTCTCCTGTCCTCATACAGTGACTGCATCCATTCGTCCTCTTTGAGGCCAAACCTATCAAGGATTTTCCACCACCTTCTCCCAAACTCTTCATCTGTCCATGATCTGTAAATGCATTTTTCAAATTTTGCCATAAAGTTCTCCTGCTGTTTAATTACATGACCGAGATTCTCAGAGACCTTCCCGAGTACATGCCAAAGGAAAAAGCAATGGTGAGCATTTGGAAAGACCTCTGGAATAACAGATTTCATTGCTTTGTCTTGGTCAGTAATGATCACTTTTGGTGCTTGTCCACCCATTGCTTTCAGCCAAATCTGCATTAGCCAAGAAACTGTGGCTACAGTTTCATCTGATAGTAAAGCACATCCAAGCAACATGAATTGATAGTGCTGGTTCACTCCAACAAAAAGAGCAAGCGGCATCTTATATTTGTTTCTAATATATGCAGTATCAAAGGAAACAACATCACAGAAATTGCTGTAATCATGCCTGCTTTTAGCATCAACCCAAAATACATTCTTCAGACGTTGATCTTCACCCAAATCCATTGCATAAAAGAAGTTGGAATTCAAATTCTGCATCTGTGTCAGAAAATCAAGAAAAATTTCCACATCTCCTCCTTCTAGTGCCAAATTACGACCTTTATCAAATGGATTTTTGGGATCATTTTTTAGGCCAACAACATTTTTATATTCCGCAAACTGCCTTGCCATTGCAGCATACATCTTTCTGGTTTGTTCACTGACAGCTTGGGCAGGTAAAAGTTCATGATTATGTTCCTTCACAAAACTATGTATGACCCATTTTCCATCTGGCTTTCTCTTCACATGCATGCTTGCTTTGCAGTCAGTCTTTGCACATGATCGCCGACCAGTAGTATTTTCTGGATCTTGCTTATTCTGCCTGGCACGTGGTCGGTTGAAGGATTTGTCATACTCTCTTTTAGTCCCATACCTAGAACAGGCAAATTTTGCATCAATAAATTCTCTTGATGTTTTTGAACGGCGACTGTTCTGTATTGCAGTGTTGAATCCCATGGACCGAGCATATTCTTGATAAAAAGAATATGCTTCCCCATGTGATTCAAATTCCATACCGGAAAGAGGTTCAAGATTCATATCCTCTTTAAACACCATGTCTGCCATGGAAGAATTTAGATGACCACCATTTTCGGCATGTACATCAGCTCCAACATCCACAATTTTTCCACCCTCTAAATCCCCATTATGTAGTTTCTCTTCAGCATCTAGCATGTTATCAATTCCATTTGCATCTTCATCTTCTTTGCACTGTTCACCAGAAGGTAACCTAAGATCTATATCCATGATGAGAATTTCCTTCAGTTTAACCAACTAGTTTTTTGACAAAACCTGAAAGATTAAAAGAAAAAAATGCATATATAAGCACCAGATGAAATTCAATCTGCAATATGCAGTCAACTTGAGGACAAGGTATTGACTAATACATAATGGAGAATTGGATACATATATAACATTTCTTGAGTCCTTTTTATGAGGACAAGGTTCTCTACAATTAATGTAATCAAAGGACATTTCTAATCTTCCTCTGAAATCAATGTCCTACATATGTCCAAATCAACATACAGGAATTTAGTTTGACAATCATTTCTTACCTTTTCACTTCCATTAAAATTCTCCTAGCTCAACAAGAATTTTTGTCTTTGTAAAACTCACTTTTGAAATTTCACTTCCACCAAAATACCTTTTCACCACATGGTAACTAAGGCTTAAGCAAGTCTAGCCCACATTGATGAATCGTTATCTCTTCATCTATGCACAACACCTTCAAAACTGACCCTTTCTCACTAAACAAAGAGTATCTACAGTAACCACTTCCAAAGCTTTTCGTACCAAAAATAAGTGATTAGCCTTCTACTTCTTTTCCCAATTTGTTTAGTTTTATGTTTTCTTATTGATTTGTTTAGTTTTACGTTACACTACAAATAAAAACTCACACCTTCTATCACAATAAAAGGGAGGAAAAAGGTTCTAGAAATAGAAACCACTGGTTGATAAAGAAATTACATAATGAAAAGGATATTTGAAAAAATCCCCAATGTTATTATTAATATTACCATACAAGTTGGTGAGAAAGACTAATGAAAAGCTCCAAACCAATTAACCAATTTGTGAAGCTAAAACAGCTTTAGAATCTCCAAAAAACAAAGATCATCTATGCTGAAGTGTTAAGCACATCCTGTGAGGAAGATCAATCATAGATAAGAATCAATGAACAATGTTTCTCCAAAGCTAAAATCAAAAAGGCCTTGATAAAAAAATCAGCAGCCTTACAATCATTTGGCAAATTAGGACACCATCAGGTCAAAACTTGTCAGGATCTTCATATAAATAACCCATCCAGATAGTTAGCAGCAAAAAATGCTAGCAGGCCTTCCGAGCATCACAAGAATCAATGATACAGATTGAGGGCAACATACAGGTAACCGTCCTCTCTAAATATGTCCAGAATAATTTCTTAAATTCCATATATGTGTGTTTGTATATAAATTTGAATTCTATTACAACTAGTGATAGAATAGAAAAAGTAAAAACTATCTTAAGCAATGCCAGCAGCCTGAAGAATCCAAAAAGGAATTTAAATAAATGCACAAGAGGAGAAGGAAAACAAGTTTCATAATCTCATGAAGATTTATTTGCAAAACATCACAACACACAACCAAAAGAAAACTGCTATGGATGATGGAGATGACTTGCAAAAGCTTTCTGTCTTCTTCATTCCAAAAGCTTCTCGATATCTGTTGATCATTGAAACAAATGAAAGTTTTAACTTAAAAGGAGTACCTACAGAATGCCTTGCAGCACCATTATCTTGAAAAAGTAACCCTTGTTATACTATATTCTTGTCCTGCTAACCATATATGGGAATTGCATCTAATGTGGATAACCCAGTGATTTTATCTACTTTAGTAAAAAAAATCAAAGGATAAACGAGCAAAAAATAGTACATCCACAAGCCCTCTATGCCTATAAAATTTGCAAAAGGAATGAATATCTTAACATCCATTTTCATAGAAATAAATATCTCTATGATACAAAACAAATGCTATACAATTTAGTAAGTAGTGACCCTAATCCATACAACTAAAAGAGGCATAAACAAAGAATGCAAGCAGCAGTTGTTGACCTCTTTATAGTTCCTTAAATTTACAACTCACCATTATTATCGAGAAAACTGGAAAACCAGAAAAATAACATTTTCAGTAATCCAAAATTCTATTTAAATAACATCGAGTTGCTAAGTTAATATCCGCCTATTGTTAACTAGCAAACAAAACAAAACTCAAGTAACGATAATAATAATAATAATAATAATATCGGTTTATGTGTAAAGTTCTCAAAATCCATCAATTATACATACAGATGCAGAAGCTAACAGTATAGCTCGAAAAATTATAAGGGGGAAAACGAGAGAGAGAGAGAGATTATATTAATGCTAAACAAGTAAAAGAGACCAAAGCATGAGCTAACCTAGTAATGCTCCACATATATTTAGGGTTTTAAACATTTGTTACATTAAAATAACGAGACATAAATCAAAATCATTCGTCTATAAGTTTGTACACAGAAGGATAGAAGTACCTGAAAGTATCGAAGTTGCCGCCATTCAATGCTTCAAAGGTCAAACATAGAGAGAAAGACTAGTCTCGCCGCGGAATTGGATTGAAAGCGGCGGCTCCGAGAAATTGAGAAAGATGATTTAGCGTATTAAAAGATCTTTCTACTTGAACAGTCTTCTTCGATCTCGAAATCATCCTGTTCACGTAAGTATTCATTAATTAACAAGCAAAACCCTAGAGAATTGAAAGCAAAAAGAGCTTACCACCGGACAGGCCGATTAGTATAATAGCGAATTCTCTTCTTTTAACCAATGGCGAATTCGTGAAGCTTTTGGAGATTCAAACGTGAAGAAAATAATTGCCGGGAGGTGCACTGTGAAGGTCGAAGACGAAAAAGATGAAAGAAGAAAAGGGGGAGGAGGAAATTTGAGAGCCTGGAGTAAGAAAAAATTTGAGGAAATTAAAACGTTGCGTTAAATGGTTTTACAAAACGACGTCACATTGTCCTGTCCAAGGCAGAAGAGAGCAGACAGCCCAATTATTACCGAGTCTTTAACTCGCTTTTATAATGATCTAATGGATTCATGCGACTCCAAGTACTACTTTTCCAAAAAAGAGGAAGAGGTATAATCAACTATTTAGACTACACCAATTGTTAATTCTGTGGTTATTTAGTTTAAAATAAGTATTTAAATTTTAATATTTGCCTAAAATAAAATTAATATATATTATAATATATTGAATAAAATATTATTTTATTAACTTATGATAACAAATCATGTGATTGAATAGCAAAAAATATGCATGTTAAATATATATTTTTACAATAATCATATAAATCACTTGTTTGCCATGTTAATTCACTTTTATTAGAGTTGAAAGTTCAATTGAAAGTTTTATCACAGCTTTTTTTTATCGATAAATTGAAAGTTCAATTTTTAATATTCTGATTATAAGATATATATAATCCTAATATTTTTATTATAATATTTACGTACAAAATTTATATATTTTTTTATTTTTAATTAAGTTTTTTGTTATAATAATTTCAATTAAATCAAGTTAAAATACACAACTGAATAACACGAACAAATAGTCCCACAATACAATTCAAATTTTGCTAGGTATATGTCGTGTTTGTGTGTTGTAATTATATTTAGTATGATTTTTATAATAAATTAATATAATAGTTATATTTAATATTTAAATATATTTTGTTTGTTGTTAATACGCAAATCATATATTTTATATAATCTAATTAAGTTTTAAATTTAGTAAACTATTGCATTATAATTCAATGAACTTGATAACCTCTAACAAAATAAGTAAAAATATTAACGGTTTACAAAATTTTGTTTAATATGATCATATTAGTACTCAATAATGTTCAAACTCAATTCATAAATTGATATACAAAATTAATTAAAAGTTTAAATTTATTAAAATACATACAAAATTTTGAGAAATATATTATAAATATATTAAAATATCATAAAGAATAAGTTATAAATATGTTTGAAATTACCAAGATTAAAAAAATAATAATAACGCTATAGTGGGGCCCATACTTAGTCCAAATAGTTTATACCAGTCATTTTTGTAACTTTGGGTAGTTTGATAGGATGCAAATTGTACTATATCATATATTCCCATATATGTTAAATTATTATATTTGTTACATACATATAAAATTTATAATAATTTGATTAATTTTATATGCGACAATCATCAACTAAAGTGGTTGGTACAAAATTCATTTAAATCTACATAGGTAGGGAAATTTGGTTTTATATATTTTTTTAATCAAATTAAATTATCAGCTAGTTTAAATTTTAAAAATAGTAATAAATTGTTCGTAGACAAATAATTTTTTCGAATATATTTTTCTATTGATTTTGTAATCCGTGAACAAAAATTATTTTATTTTATTTATTTATAACAAAAAAAATTTATTAAACGTTATAAAAATATAGATTTATATTATTTATAATTATTTTAATAACTTAATTTATATTATATTATACATTATAAATTTTGTATACGAGCAAAAATATATTGTTATAACTTATAAGCTGTGTCCTTTAATATATAAATACCAGTTATATCAATAAATACATAAAATATTTTTGATAGAATATAATTTAATATACTAATTAAGCGGTGAAATTAAAATTTTTAGTTTAAACAAAAGTTATTTAGGTCATAAAATAATGGTATTTATAAAATAAATAAATAAAAAAAACAAAGATTCCTACTGGGAATTATTAATGTGGAACCCGTTTAACTTTCCCCAACAAATCCATCGACATTTATTGATTTTATTACACGTCCCACTATAGCTGCTGTCTTCCATTCAGACACATCATACATAGTTCGATAATTTTATTTTTATTTTTTTTAAATAAAATAGTTTATCCATTTCATTAAAATTTAATAAATTACACAAAAAAGTTACTATTTTAGTTAAAATAATTATAAGGAATTAAAACATAATTTATTTATTTATTAATAAAAAAATTATATTATGTTTATTTATAAATACAAGTAATATGAGATATTTTTTAAAAATAAATTTATGTAAGATTTTATTATATTGAAGTTGGATATTATTTTTATAATTATGTCATTAAAAACAATTTTTTTTTAAAAAATATTAAAACATTATTTTTCTTACATAAACTTACTCTATTAAACATTTTACTTGATTCAATTTATAAAAATAAAATCTAATTTTTTTTTATTAAAAACTATTTTATTAATAAACATGATAATTTTTTTTTAAAAAAAAGAAAAAGATTTTTGAGAGTTAGTTGAGACACTGAATAATAATTTACCGGTCATGTTAACTCTTTCTTCAACGTCTGTCAGGCGTCAACGCTTTTCTATTTTGTCATTTTCGTCTTTTCCTTCCACAGATTTCCACTTACGTTCCTCCTTTTCCGTAGCTGGATTTTCTTTTTCTTTTCTTTTTTTTTTTAATCCAACTTTTTTCTTTTAATTACTAAATTTTTGGTAGCAAATTTAATATTTTAAATGTCTTCTTCAGCAAAGAGGAATTGAGGAAGGAGGCTTGCTTTGCAGGCCGGTTTCCACTTTAAGATTCTTTCCATTTATTTTTTGGCTTGTTGACTACTGAGAAGTTGAGGTTTCAGATAGGAAAATTCCTTCAACAGCCGCACTTTTTCTCTCTCTAGTTTCTAGTATCGAGCCGGTGGTGGTGACTGGTTAGTGTTGTGGTTTTTGGTTGGGGTTTTAGGTCTGTAACTGGGGCAGCCATGGTGAGGAAACATGGTTGGCAACTACCTGCACACACCTTTCAGGTACGCGTATGGCTTTCTCTGTTCGAGAATTTTAGTTTAGTTTTTCAACTTCTTAGTCTTGGTTTCCTATTTTAAAAATTTCTAACTAGGGGTTTTTTAGAGATTCTAACTAGGGTTTTTGCTTGCTATGTTACGTCCCTTGTGGATTTCTCTAAGTAATGGAGGAAAACGGTTTGCAGTCCACGTTTTGGAGCATTTTGGTTCATGTGCTTTTACCCGTTTCCTCGCCTGGGATGGTGTAAATCAGCTTGAGAACCAGTAATTTTGGTTGCTGATGAGAGTTTGAGAAAATGATGAAATCTAGGATGTTGTCTGACCATTTTTGTTTTTAGTTAAACTTTTTCTTTGTCGGTTTGGAGAGCTTCAGAAAAGTTCTGGTCCAAATTCGTTTCTGCTGTCAGTATGGTTGTCCCTTTTAAGACCTTATATTTCTGGCTTTGACATGGGATTTAACTTATGCTCTGTTTGCCTGTTGAGAAGGGCTTGGAAACAAAAGAACTAGAATGTTTAGGTATATTGCTTACATTAGGTGGAAATTTTGTGGTGCTCCCTGGGTATATCATATTTCCCTGTTACTTTAGGATAAATTTTTAGTTATTTAGTAATGCTGTAAGATTATAACTTACCTTGGGTGAAAGTTACCAATTATTATGAAATGTTAGAAAATTATTGTGAATCATACTGACTTGTAGTCACCACAGTAGCATCATCTGTTGAATTTTCTTTTGGACAAACAACTAAGCATGTTTCCTAAAAGAAGCTAATGAGCTGAAAGTGGGAGTAGTTGTCTGGAGCAATTGATTTTGCAGGAAACATTTCTTATTCCTCCCAATTTTTTATGCAGTTTCGAGTGTTATAAGTTTGGTTCTTTTATTGCTACTTTCAAAATATTAGGGCAGATAGCTGAAAGTTTGTTGATAAAAAATGTGGCTTATCATGCTTTGTTCTAGTCTGAGTTATATTCTTACATATTATTTTTACTGGGACGTAACCACTTTTTGAAAGTCTGATTTGTTTTCAGGAACAACAGAAGTGACATGCATTTGTAATAACCAAAACTGGAACTAATTAAAATAGGTTAAAGAAAAAATTTCTTCTGCAGAATAAAATTCATTCATGGCATCAACCATGATTCTATGCATGTCAAATAGTTTTTCTGTGTTGCAGACTTTGCACTTGTTATTGTATCTGTGAAGGTGGCTTTTTTCTATTTTGGCACTGGTTTTCATGGCTATACGTGCATTAAATCTTTTGAATGTTGGTGTTTAACTTGGATAGGTGGTTGCAATCACTGTCTTCTGCTTGCTAGTGGTGGCATTTTATGCTTTCTTTGCCCCTTTTGTTGGAGGACGCATTTGGGAGTATGCTTTGATCTCTGCTTATTCTCCAGTGGTATGTGAATTTGGTTTAATTCTCATATATCAAATCAAAGCTGCAAAAATTGGAAATGTTTCTTTGTCTTACATCTGCTATCGTGCATTTCATAATGGACAATAGGGTGTTGGATCATGATAGTAAAGATGTTTAAAAGTCAGGTGTTCTTAGTTAGAAAACTTCCGTAATAATTGGTCTGTACTCTTTCATAAAACATAAGTTTATAAGCTTCTGCAATTTAAACCAGAAATTTTGTGGAAGTCTCAGATTGAACAACCACCCCCTACCTACTGTACCTGATGTGATAATTTTAGGCCAGTGAGCTTTTGGAACTAAATTCAGTTTTAGCTCTTGCTGAATCTTCTTCTCCTTAGATTTATTGTATGCTAATATGCCTTCTCAATCACAAAAAGGAATAATATGAAAAAATGACTACGTGCAATACAGCTGAAACTTCAAGGTCAATTCAGGAAAATTGTTTAAGATTGCTTGAATTTGAAAATGAAGTTTAAATTGTCTCAAAAGCATACCACTTAACGGGCGTATTATGAAACTTGAAGATTTAATATTAATTTAACTTTCATAATCATATTGCTCTGATTTAAGAAGCAAGTGCAGTGTTTTCCTTGAGTATGTAAATGTAGCTCTTATCTACTAACTTATGGTGTACTTGGTAATGTACTTCCTCATCTCCCTTTGAATTTGAAGGCTCAACTTATGGTTCTGATATTTTTCCCACTTATATCATGGGAATGCAGGCACTCCTTGTCTTTATTCTGTATGTTCGGTGTACTGCAATAAATCCTGCAGATCCTGGAATAATGTCTAAATTTAATGGAGTAGCAAATAGACCTGTTCCAAATCATGCAATGAAGGACCTACCGGGAAAATTTGATGAAATTGGTGGTCGTCTGCATTCTTCTCCTTCAACGGCATCCAGAGGTTCCATAAACTCTAGTAAAAAAGGGGCAAGAGGAGATAGTGGGAGCATAGATACCGTAGCCAAAAGATCCTGTTATGGTGGGATATTCTGTGCATTGTTTGTCCATGAAGATTGTCGTAAACAGGAAGGTGCAGCTGAAGAACAGGGAATTGGTGAAGATGCTTTGTTCTGCACATTGTGCAATGCTGAGGTTAGATTTAATGAATATGGAACAGTACTGTGTTATTCTCTCTCTCTTTTTCTTTATGCAATTAAGAGTCTCTTGTTCTGAATATACTTGAAGCAGGGTTTGGTAAATATTTGAAGCGGGGAATTTAGATTACCAGGAACATTATTACTGGGAATATATGATTTTTTATGTTTGATAAAGATTTGACGTTTATTAAGAGTATCTAGTTATTGTATTTAGCTTGCCAAGAAGATTACTGGTAACAGTAAAATATCAGGCATAATTTTTTATTGAATTTATACATTTCATTTATTTTAAAAGAACAAGCTCATGCAACTAGTTAACTTTGATAATTTTGATATTAGCAAAACTATTTATTAAGCAAAAAATATTATATGTTAAATTTTTAATGAGAAACTCCAACTTTATATTTGAATTACGGAGGTTCAGATAAAAGAATTTGGTGGAGGCAAAATAGTAGTTACTTATTTCCTACAAAATATAATTGAAGAAAATGTTAAATTGCTCCCATAGTGTTTTTCATTAAGCAAATACGGTACTGCTTGAATTGATTGTGTGACCAACTCAAAAAATACTGCTATCTAAACCTGTTCTTGGTAAAGAAAGAGATAAATAAAGACGAAGTCCTTTTTCCAAAAAGATTAAGTCGAGAACAGAAAAATGTGACCTGGAATGTGGCTAAGATTTTAAATCTTTCTTCCTTTATCATCCTGAACATTCTCTGTTTTGCAGGTGCGGAAGTATAGTAAACACTGTAGAAGTTGTGATAAATGTGTGGATGCTTTTGATCACCATTGCCGGGTACATCTTTGTCGTTTCTCCTGCTCTGTGTGCTCTTAATGGGATACATTTTGATATATCTTTCAAATTTTTCTGGAGTGTAATATCATTTTAAACTTTAATTCTTGGTAACTTAAATAATTATATTATATGGCTGCAGTGGCTTAACAATTGTGTGGGACGCAAAAATTATGTGACTTTCATCTCTCTCATGGCTATCAGTCTTGCTTGGGTGTGTGGTCTAATTATATCTGTATTTTTAAAGAAATGATTTTTGTTTTCTTTTTTTTACCCCAAATGATTTTTAATTATTACTTATACACTCTCTATGGCCTATCAGCTTATTATTGAAGCTGGAGTGGGCATTGCTGTGCTAGTGCGATGCTTTGTTAATAAGAGAAGTATGGAGACTCTAATCATTGATAGACTTGGAAACGGTTTCTCTCGTGCTCCATTTGCAACAGTTGTGGTAATTTTCAAAGATGTTTCCCAGACTGAAGCTAATATGATTTTTTTTTTCTGTTGACATAGCAGAACTTTTCTGCTGATTTTGGATCTTAAATTCTGTAGGCCATATGTACTGCAGTTTCAGTTCTGGCTTGTGTACCATTGGGTGAACTTTTCTTTTTCCACATGATATTGATTAGAAAGGTTAGTTAGCAAGGATTGCACGTACTTTGTTCCAGCTTTGCTTAAATGCTATGAAGATGGGCAAGATGAAGTTAAAAAATGTAGCTGTGGTTAATTATCATTCTGTTTCAGTGGATAAATAAATCATAAAATGAAAGCATATCATACATTTGATGGGGAAGAGGAACTAGAGCAAGACATCTAATATTTGCAGTTTTTCTTTTCTTGTATGGACACAGGGCATAACAACATACGAGTATGTTGTAGCAATGAGAGCTATGAGTGAAGCACCTGGTGGAGCGTCTGTAGATGAGGAGCTGCCAAATGTGCTATATTCTCCAACAGGATCTACCACAACTGGCTTGAGTGGTGGAAGTTCTTTGGGTCTTCACTACAAGGGAGCATGGTGTACCCCGCCTAGAGTATTTGTGGATTATCAGGTACTCATTTTCACTAGTATGTTTGTTTTTGTTAAGATTGCTCAAGAGTGTTATTTTGAGAAAAGATTGCTCAAGAGCAAAGGTGGTCATCAGGTCTCCAAGATAATTCTATGACTAGGAGACTTTTCAGGCCATGAGTCACGCTGGATAATTAATTGGATTGATTATAACTAGAAGAAGGTATTAATTAGATTGGATCCATTATATAGACCTTAATTAGATTGGTTGTTTAAAAGGTATTATCTAGGCTTTTTGAACATGTATTAAGAAGGCTGACAAAATTCTTGAAAGAAAGGGTTATCTAGTGAATACATGTCCCAATTTGGTGTGTTTGTCCATGCATGAGTTTTTTTTTCTTTCATCACCGAGTTGGGTTGTTTTCTGCTTATTTCTTGTCAGATATTATGAAAGAATACAAAATAAGTTGCTTGCAGTTTTAAGAAGGTAGTAACACAGCAAGAATGGAAAATCTTTCTTGCTTATTTGGGATGAATAATAGGCAGTCTGGCAGGCAAGTGTCTTACACAATATTTTTAGTTAAAAAGTTTCATTCGCAGTTATTGTTCATATCTATTCCATAAGCAAATTTTATGTTAATTCTCCTCATAATCATAGTTAGAAGACAGGAACAAATGAAGTAGATAAGAGAATCAGATCAAGTAACTTTTAGACCTGAATATAATAGATTTTTGGTATCATCCTTGTCCACTTTGCTTTCTCCTTTCATCAAACTCTATAGATAGAGTGTTTCTGTCATTTTTTTATGTTAAATTTAAATTAAAAAATTTTATTGTTAAGTTTCTGAATTTTACTTGAAAATTATACAAGTGAGTTACCTGTCTTAATTTTGCTGAATGCAAGTAAATATATATGCTACAATGCTCTTTATCACCTTTACTTTTGGGTGAATTAAATTGTTACACAGCCTGCAGCTGCAGCTGCCCCAACGCAATCATTTATGTCGTTAACTTTCTTTTAACTGCTGCAGTATATGCCTGTCCTCCACGCTCTTATGGACATGCTATCCAGAATATGTCTGTTGAGATTCTAATATGTTTCTAGAGTCTAAATCAGTAATTAGCTCCATTGATCTATTTAACTTGATTTATTCAAGCCCCATAACTATTCTTTGTACCAATCCAGTGAGCATGGAACATGTTTGCCAGAGACTCTTATTATTCCAATTCAAGAGTCCTGAGTTAAGTTTTTTTCTTGTAAGCTTACCACCGTGGATGGTTTCATTCCATTTCAGCAATACTACATCAATAGTGCTTGTATCTACTTTTGTTGAAAAAAACTCTCTGGTCTGATTGAAAGAGGTTTTAGACTAATCTTGAATATGCATATATAGGATGAAGTGATACCTCACTTGGAGCCTGGAATGGTCCCATCAACTGTTGATCCAGACGCAGCTGGAGTTGAAAGAGGGCCAAGGGGGACCAAAAGGCCTGTTCGTATTAGTGCATGGAAGCTTGCAAAGTTAGATTCCAATGAGGCCATGAGGGCAGCTGCCAAGGCCAGAGCATCCTCCTCTGTTTTGCGCCCTGTTGACAATCGTCGTTTACCAGATTCTGAATTTAGCTCTAGCGGCAATGTCAGTGTCAGAAGTAGTACAAGTGCAGATACAGGAGCCAATAAAGAGATCAAGAATGATTTGAAAATGTCACCCTTGAGAAATTCTTTTCCTCCAAGTCAAGGTAGCAGGGATGAGTATGAAACTGGGACTCAAAGTGTGAGTAGCTTCAGCAGTCCAAGTCACATTCATGAGCCCGTCACACTTAGCCCTCTACCACAATCTCATGCTGCTCCAGGCCGTTTTAGTGCAGCTACATCAATTCCTGATCATTCAGTAGCTTCTAGGGCCGCTTTCCCAAGCATCAGTAACCCAGTAAAGCATACTTCATTGGGATTTGATGAAAAGATAATGCAAAAAGGAAGCATTAGTGATCCATTGCTTCTCTCAGCCCCTGCTGCTTCTCTTCTCAGAGATGTCAGAAGGACATCTGTTGTGTGGGATCAAGAAGCTGGGAGGTATGTATCAGTTCCTGTATCAGCATCAGAAGCTCGGAACAGATCAGTCATGCAGACAAGTTT